CACATTTTCAAAACTGCTGTGTTCATGAATGAATCCACTGAGTTATCTTAGTGTTCTAGTGACACTATATTTTGGCAATGGGTTTCTACACCTGCAAGCATCAGTTTCTACACCTGGCATCTAGCTTGGTAATTTTACTTCTACTTGCTAATGACATAAATGCATTGGTAGAACTGTTTTTGTTGTCAGGTTTGCTCGGCCGCTCTGCCTCCCTCACCTTTCCTACTGTTTCTTGTCCATTAACACCCTTTCCTACTGTCTCTTGCCCATTTACACTAATCACGTTCACCTGTTCCTCACTCCCTTATCACCAGCTGCACTTGATTAGGTCGCTCACTATATTACCTGGTTTCACTCCTCAGTCACTTGCCGGTTCGTTCTTGTCTCTAGGCCATTTTTTCTCCATGCTGTCTCGTTTTGTTTTTTTTCTTTTTGTATATTATTATTTCCTAGCCAGCTACTGTTTTGTGTTCCCCCCATGGACTGTTCCTCTGGACCGTGGCTCCACTCTCCCCTCCCAGGCAGGTCAATCATCTCTCTGTCTCCACCTTCAGTAACCATCATCACCACCGACCAGCCCAGGAGTGACCCAGCCTACGCAGCTCGGCCCAGCTCTCCATCTCCTCACCTCCTACTGTTGGTCAACACCCGGTTACTACTCATTGACAGGACTGCGCACTATTTCCCTCTGTGCATTTTGTTATTTCTCCTCATCACTGTACATAATAAATCACTGCTTGCATCGAAGTCGGCTACCTGGGTCCGCCTCTTTCCCGTTCGCTCACTGACAGGTGCGGACGGCACATAACATTTGTAGTCGGCTGTGATGTCCTCAAAGGTAGAGAAACCTGAGGTTAAAAACAAATCTTGTCTCTTCTCAGAAAAGCCTTGCATGCACATTTATAATAAATATGTAAACAAGTAAAACTGTTTACAAAAATTCAATTTTAGATTTTAAATTCTATTCTGGATTTTACAGGGAGCCAGTGGAGAGAAGCTAATATGGGAGAGATATGATCTCTCTTGCTAGTTCCTGTCAGTACTCTGGCTGCAGCATTTTGGATTAACTGGAGGCTTTTTAGGGAATTATTGGGACATCCTGATAGTAAAGAGTTACAGTAGTCCAGCCTGGAAGTAACAAATGCATGGACCAGGTTTTCAGCATCACTTTGAGACAGGATGCTCCTGATTTTGGTGATATTGTGCAGGTGAAAGAATGCAGTTCTAGAGATTTGGTTTATGTGTGGTGATTTAAAGGACATATCCTGGTCAAAAATGACTCCAAGGTTCCTTACAGTAGTACTGGAGGCCAGAGCTATTTCACCTAGAGTAACTATATGGTTAGACAGCAGATTTCTAAGACTTTCAGGCCTAATGACTAAACCAAGATAAAAATCGCTGCAGAGAAGCACAGACATCTGTCAGATCCCTATAGGAGCAGTACATAATGAGCACTGCAGGGACTTTTGTTTAGGGAGAACTGCAAAAAGCTGAATAGGAAACAGATGAGCTGAAAATGACGGGTGGGGCGGAGGGTGTGGATGGGGGCTGTACAGCAAAGTCTGACAGCGGGTCTTTAAACTAAGCAGAGCTGCTTCAAGTATGGACGCTCATCAATGACAAAACCATGGAGTGGGTGCAAACAGTTTCCAAGGTGAGAACAAGTCAAGATACGAGGTCCCCTGTGCTTATTGTCCGGGTGCTGGATGTGGTTTTCCCCAGCCTCACCTGTTGCTCCCTGTCTTTCAGAAAGCTAGTAATCCACTGACAGGTTGTGGCAGGTACCGTGAGCTGGGTCAGTTTGGAGTGGAGGATGTCCGGGTTGATGGTGTTGAATGCTGAGCTGAAGTCCACAAAGAGGGCTCGTGCATAGGTCCCTGGTGAGTTGAGGTGTTGCAGGATGTAATGCAGTGTCATGTTCACTGTATCGTCCACTGACCTGTTTGCCCAGTAGGCAAACTGCAGGGGGTCTATGGTATATAAAGGGGAGAGTGGATATTGGTCTATAATTAGCTAGAACACCTGGGTCAAGAGTAGGCTTTTTGAGTAGAGGTTTAATTACAGCAGCCTTAAAAGCCTACAGAACATAGAGAGGTTAATCAGATCTAGTATGGACATGTTGAATAGGGGTAAAATGTCTTTGAGGATCCTGGTTGGGATGAGGTCTAAGAGACATGTCGATGATTTAGATCAACCAACTGTTGAAGTCAACTTACAGAGATCTATGGGAGAGAAGCAGTTTGAATATAAATTGGGCCTTACAGATGTTTCTAAAGCCACTAGACATCTGTGAAAGTTGTCTGAAGGATCTGTTAAATTATTTCTCTAATAGTTGTGATTTTATTTGTAAAGAAGCTCATGAAGTCATTACTGCTGAGATCTAAGGGAATATTAAGCTCAACAGCACTGTGGCTCTTTGTCAGAAAGAAACCTGTGATTGTTCTTATTTTCCTCTATCAGTGATGAATAGTATGCCATTCAGGCACTACAAAGGGCTTTTTATATGTTATTAAACTATCTTTCCAGGTTAAGAAAAAGTCTTCTGATTTAGTGGAGCACCACCTCCTTTCCAATTTTTGTTATTAAAAACAATTTGCGTGACTTGTCTCACCCCTGGGTAATTGGATTTCTGCTTAAAATCGATGAATGATCTCTAATGTTGTTTGCTTCATCCAAAGGTACCTTGGAGCCCCATCTGTCTGCCCTGCTGTGGATGGCCATGCTGGTGTCTCTGGCTATTGTAATCGTCTTGCCTCAACCTCATGGCATCCGAGCGCTCATTGCCGCCACCATCCTACGCCTGATTTTCTCTGTAGGCCTGGAGCCCACTTTGTTCCTGCTGGGGGCCTTCAATGTAAGGGTGCATCAGTGTTTTCAAAAAAACAATAATAATTATTATGAAACGTGACCCAGATATGGTTTACTGCCCAGTAGATGGTTGACTGCAACTTGCCTTGGTGCAACGGCACAGTCACATGCCAAACATTAATTAAACAGCACACTTAGTAATACTGGACTAGCACATAGTGCATAAACCTTGTGACTCCCAGTGCTGGAACATCAAACATTAAACCCATATTTTGCATTGAAGTTAACACACTGTTAAGTGTTGATGTCTGAATAACGATTGTTTGAAATGCTATGTTGTCTCTGTGTTTCCATTGTTCTTCAGTTATGTAACAAGGTCATCTTCCTGATGAGCTTTGTTGGGAACAGAGGAACCTTCACACGTGGCTACAAAGCCATGATCATGGATGTAGAGTTCCTGTACCACCTGCTCTACCTGATTATCTGCACCCTGGGGGTCTTCGTTCATGTCTTCTTTTACAGCTTGCTAGTATGTGAGCACACACACACAAAACATACAGTATAATCTCAACATGGTGGGGCAGTGGTTAGCACTGTTGCCTCACAGCAAGAAGGTTCTGGGTTTGAGCACCAGCCAACCCGGTGCCTTTCTCTGCGGAATTTGCTTGTTCTCCCTGTGCCTGTGTGGGTTCTCTCCGGGTACCCCGGCTTCTTCCCACAGTCCAAAGACATGCAGCTTAGGTTGATTGGCAACTCTAAATTGCCCATAGGAGTGTGTGTGGTAGTCTGTCTCTGTGTCAGCCCTGTGATAGACTGGCGACCTCTCCAGGGTGTACCCCACCTATTGCCCAGTGTCAGGTGGGATTGGCTCCACCCCCCTTGCGACCCTGTTCAGGATAAGCGATATAGATAATGGATGGATGGATAGGTGCATAATCTTAACCCTGTATACACATGGACAAAGACACCCAAGCAAGTGGTATGCTGGAAACAGTTTCCAGCTTGTCCTGAATAGAAATGAAGATGGCATAGTGCACAGTTTTTCATTGTTAATTTGCACTAATCCAAAAACACATGAAATTAAAAACAGGATTTACATGCTTACAAAGGTACATACTGTATGTTCTCTGCCAACCTTAATAACTATGAGATGTTGGCAAGGATATTTAAATAAAGGCTATGATCCAAACAAAAAATAGATTCTTTGTCTACTGTAGCCTTTATTAGCCCACATGCTCACATTTGTGCACACACGCCCTTCTGTATTTTTCATGCATGTTTTCCACACATGTACTGTACATCTCTCTGAATCCTTCCTCTTCCCAGCTCTTTGATCTGGTTTACCGAGAAGAGACCTTACTGAACGTAATCAAGAGTGTGACCCGCAATGGCCGCTCCATTGTTCTGACAGCCGTCCTGGCTCTTATCCTTGTCTACCTCTTTTCCATTGTGGGTTATATCTTCTTCAAAGATGATTTCATTTTGGCTGTCGACAGGATACCCAACAAAACACTAGGTATGTTGAAATACAGGCTTCTCTTTCTCCATACTGGGATACTCATGTCCTCCCTAACTCAAACACACACACACACACACACACACACTGGGTTTTCATTCCTTGTGGGGACTTTACATTGACTTACATTCATTTCCTATAGACTTATCCTAACCTTAACCTAACACCTAACCCTCACTCTAACCTTAAACCATGTTGCCACCCTAAAATTCAGTGATTGCCAAGTCCCCACAATGTGAGTGTGTTCCCCATATTGTAAGTAAAACTAAGGCACAAATACACTGATCTCTGTTAAAAGAAATGTATTTTAAATGAAGTTAACAAATACAAAGTGTGTGTATTCAGAAAAACTTAATGTTTGATTCACAAAGGTAAAACCTGTACAAAGTGTGCAGTTGCATAAAGCTTTGTGTTCCCAACTGAACAGAGCATGGAGCCAGTATGGTGGGAGAGTTATTCTCTGGTGGAGTGTGTCAGAAAGAAAATGCAGAAAACTGTTCAGCGGAGGCCGTGATGGATGGTGGGTACACAAAAGTCAAAGGTAACTCTCGGTATGTTTGACTAGGGTGGAGGATGGATGATGAGGTTGAAAAGTTCTTTTAAGTTTTAAGGAGTATGATCAGGAGATTACTATGTGTGTGTGAGAGAGATTGTGTGCTTATGTCTTTCTTTGTCTGTGCCTGCTTCAGTGTGTGTAAAGGTCTTCACAGACATCTGTCTCAGCCAGAGGAGATTCATCCCTCTGAGCTGTAAATCTGGGTGGCTGGGTGGTCATGGGCTTAAACCTGGCCTGGCCAAAGGGGGATATTCGATATTTAGGGAGCTGGGTCTAACACCTCGGGGTTAAGACTCCTTATGGGGTATTTACTAAAGTTTTGTGACTCCTTTTTTGGCAATAAATAGTGGAATTGCGTGTTCATATTTACTAAGGAGTCACAGTGGAGTTCTGTGCCAGAGAAAAGAGGGTGTTGGTAAATTGCAATTGTAAATCACTCACCAGAGGAGAATCTGACAGACTTTTACAGACTTTAAGGTCAAACCATGCTTCAGTTACCAAATGAAATAAAAAATGACTTTACTGGCAGGAGATAACATGACTGCAGCTCCAAATTATGTTTGTTGATTTCTTCAACCATGTTAAAGTTCAGCCACTGTAAGACTTTCATACATGATTCCTCTCAGGCCACACAAGTGCTATACATGCACCAGAGGAGGTGTATTCAAATGAACACAGCTGCAGCACATTTACATCATTCATGTTGGTAAATCTGGTACATCTGACGGTAATTTTTGACAGGTTAGTACATACTCCCTCTTGTGCATTTTAGAGGGCTGAGCCTAAGACCTGATGTAGGGGCCTAGGGTTGAAAGGTTAAGAATTAATTGCCCTCAGCTGCAAACAGGTGGATTGGGAGGATGGGTGTTGTTCAGTGATGGTGCAGAGGGCTTCTCTTTGCAAACAGTGACCTCTTGTAAACTGACCTTCATGGGAAAATTCTCCAATCAAAGATGATCACATGTGCCACCTTAAAACTGATCAGCTAACTGTGTCAAATCCTCAACCCGCCTGGAACCTGACTTCCAGGCGGGTTCCAGGTAGACTTCCCTATCCATCACCACAAGGATCTTAAATTATGGTAGTCTGGTGACTTGTTCTTTGTGTGGATGGTTTGGGAACATTCTCGGTGTCAATTTCCCCTCACAGGCTCTTGACAGGATTGATTCAGTAATCCAATAATACTATGTAAAAGGGTATGAAGTGCATATAGTTATGGTAGTAAACTGGATTGTAACTCTTCTATTTTTATTGTATCTGTTTTCCCAGGTTAATAAATTTAAATTTGAAAGTATCATGAATGAATAATTATCATGCAGCTGACTAATCAGCCTATATAGAGGAACTGACCATCTGACAGTAATGGTATGTCTCCATAGGTTCCCTTGCCATCCAGCCATCAGCAGTGGTGATTGAGGACAAGGAGCGGACATGTGACTCCCTGCTCATGTGCATTGTCACAGTATTGAGTCATGGCCTCAGGAGTGGAGGAGGTGTTGGAGACGTCCTGAGGAAGCCATCCAAAGAGGTAAAAATGACAGGAATGTAACAAAACAGGAAGAAATTACACCCAAGTTAGGTTTAGATTTCGAGTGTAAAAAAACAGTATCATTAAATGTCCAAAATAGTCTTTTTTTCCTTATGGCTTTCAAGTTGTTGTCTGCGATCTTTCAGATTCTGGTAAATTTTTATACTTTAACAGCAAAATGCAACATGCATCAAACATGCTTGCTCAACCCCACCCCCCCACTGTGCACACAAAGATCAAATTAAAATAACTTAACTAAAAGTAGAATAATAAGGGTATTTATGTTTAAGGAGGCCCTGACAGAATCTTCATAATGTGTATTTAATGTTCTGCTAAAAGTACATTACACATTTGACCAAGTAAGCAAAAAATATTGAAATAATAAATCAATTAATCGAGAAAATAATTAGAAATAATAGATATAAGTTTGCCTTCCTCAGAAGGAAGGCAAACTCATACAGACCTAAATAAACTTTAGTTAGCTTAACATTTGTGTGAATTCTCTGTAATGTTTTCAGTTGTGTTCAACACATATGGATGACTTCTGTACAACTGGATGGTACCCTGTATGCAGACGGGCACCATGGGCTCCATATTTACATAATATAACTTTTATTCCTTAAAGTATATTAGATTTTTTTTATTTTAGGTAAATCTTAGTACATTTTTAGCATGGGAACTTTGCCTTCATTGTCTCAGATGTTTAGAAGAATTTGGAGTTCAGTCTAGTCTGCACATGAGAAAATAAATACTTTTAAGTGGTTCTTAACCAAAACAAACATTTGTAACATTAGAAAAGCAAAGCTGTAAACATCTTCTGTGAGTAATATAGTAACAGTTTAGTAGGGTAAGTGTGTGATATCTGATGATTAGCTCACTGAGTTTCCTCCCTTTGATTTGAATAGGAGCCCCTGTTCACAGCCAGAGTGATCTATGACCTGCTCTTCTTCTTCATGGTCATCATTATTGTCCTCAACCTCATCTTTGGTGTCATCATCGATACATTTGCTGACCTGAGGAGTGAGAAACAGAAGAAAGAGGAGATCCTGAAGACAACATGTTTTATATGTGGTGAGAGATTAACTAAATATCAATTGTTTTTATGCATGGTGATGAATAAAGAAACATTTGTAAGACTGAGTCACTTTCTTGCTCACCTTTTTTAAGCCATTTGGCATACTCAGCAGTTAAGGACTGTCGTTCGACAACATTATGGCAATGTGACTCATGACCTCCAACATATATTTTCCTGTCTTTTTTCCCATCATTGCTATATTGTAGTCGCACGCCCTTCTTAGAATTTAATAAAGCGGAAATGTCTTAATGTTCCATTTGAGTCAAAGCTGCAATTGATATTTGACACACTGCTGTGTAGAACTGATGCACAGCACAATTAGTAGGTGTGAATGCCTAGGCTTGCATATGATGACGAAATTAAGAGAAATCAAACAAGTGGTCTGCTGCTGTGCCTGCTGTTGCACGAGCGTGTGACTGCTGTGATGCAGCTTCGCATCAGGGCTTTGTGCAACATAGGGGCTGTTTTTCTGGGTAGTATAAACAACTAAACGCCTCCTCTTCCCAGAATGAATGATTAGTCATGGCAGGTGCTGCTGTGGAGGAGGAGTGTTTCTTCCTGTTGCCATGTGGGTCTTGACCATGTTAGACTGTGCACTCACTCAAACACTGGCCTCATCCATCACTAAACAGACACTGGCATTGCATCTGAACAATCTTGGTCAGTTGTGGTTTTTGGTTCTGGTTTGTGTTGGGTAACAATATTAAGGGTTATTCCTCTTTTGCAAATGCACTTCAAGAACATGTATTATTTACAGGGATTTGGTGTTGCAAAGTCTGTGAACATTTTTAGATGATCCTCACCTCTCATTCCCTCATGATCCCACTTCCTCTTGTTTTTTCAGTCATCAGTCAACCTCATTTATGTCACATGAGCGTTTATGTAACATTGCAACACATAGTGTATTTCTTCATTTTTCCAAAGAAGTGAGAGCATTGGGTTTATTTTCTCTCTCTCTCTCTCTCTTTGTACGTGTATGTGTGTCCTGCATTCTTAGGCTTGGAGAGAGACAAGTTTGACAATAAGACTGTCACCTTTGAGGAACACATCAAAGTTGAGCACAACATGTGGCATTATCTGTTCTTCATTGTCCTGGTGAAGGTCAAGGACTCGACAGAGTACACTGGCCCTGAGAGCTACGTGGCCGAAATGATCAGGGTAAGGATGTTGTCATGCACAATGCATTTGACTTTTTAACAGTTCAGAAGTCACACTTACAATCAAAACCATATTAAGGGACTCACTGTTGCTAAAATGAATAAATAAAATACACCAGCTCTATACAAATCCTCTACTCAGAAATATAGTTCTGTCTACACCAAACTGTTCTTGTGCCTGTGTCTCCAGGGATCAGGTTTATATGTGTTTGGACAGAATTGGCATATGCACACCTGTGTAATTAATCTTTTTATTATATGTTTTTACTATATATCACAACTGATTCACTAACCTTGGCCATTTGACAAACGTGTAAACCATAAAGCAAGTTAATTGTTTTGATTGTTGCGTCATGCTCACAGGTTGTGGGCAATTAGAAGCATTTGTAACTGCCAAAGGAAAGCCCCTTCTTAAGTGTCTGCTTTTCTGACGCATTTGTGCTACTGTCAGTTTCTGACACTGTTTCTCATTAGATGTTACTTAGCCCACTTCACTGCCTTTTGCCTTGAACTGCTGCCCTCAGTCTTGTGAGGAACCAGCTGATGTGGGATTAATCTCCATCCCCTCTCCCATTAACCCTGCAAATGAGTTTGTCATGTGTGTTCTGACCAACAGGTTAGGGGACAGAATGAGTAGAATCAGGCACATGTGGTGCAAAAGACCCCAGTGACCCATCAGCTGACTATATATCTTGTAAACTGTGGTTTCTCTTCTTAATGAAAATTTTCAGCCATACACTTACCCTTTTATTTTTCACTAGGGTTATATAACCCTAGTTTTGTTTTCTTTGTATTTTACCTCTTTAACATATAGATAGATAGATAGATAGTACACTATATACAGATGTATATAGTATATGTGTATATATAGTACACATTATTTTACCCTACTATTTGTAGTATAGTTTTGCATTGTCAAGTATTGAACTAAAAAAAAATACAAAGGTTTACAAACTCAAGCTGCATACTAGGACATAGAGTGGGTCATCTCCCAACCAGAGGGTTGTTGGTTTGAATCCCGGCTTCTCCAGTTGAGCAAGATGCTGAACCCCAAGTCGCTCCTGGTGGCTGGTGTGTGTGTGTGAATGCTTGTTTTTGTGAATGGGTGAATGTAAAATAGTATAAAAGTGCTTTGAGTGTGCTTCATTACATAGAAAAGTGCTGTACAAATACAAGACCACTCCCAACAACAGGACAAAATTGTGTTAAAATTATGAATTTACTTTGTTCTGTGTGTTGCTGCTGCAAGCTTATACAGCTTTATCTGACAGTATTTACTAAATATTCACATCAGAAACGTGATTTATTAGTCCACTTTTTTCAATCTTTACTGCCACTCTCCCACTGTGTTTCAGTTTATTTGATGCTGCAATAATGTGGAAGAAGCAACAGAACAGAAGGGGGCGTACAAGTCAGACTACTCTATCAATGACTGGGACTGACGTCAATGGCGAAGGGCTCTGGGTGAACTGTCACGTCTCAGATGTAAAAAGATGATGCTGGGCTCTCACTCACTGCCCTAATTTGCACTGCATGCACCACTGTGAGACCCCCAAGCTTTAGGAGCTCCTTTGAAACATTCAAAGCCGAAGACAATCAAAGCATTTTTATCTGAATTTAGCAACAAAAAAAAAAGCTTAAATTATATCTGCCTTTGTCTATTTGGATTGGTGATATTTTTTGGCATTTATTTGTGTATTTGTAGACTGAGTGGGCTGTCAGCTCGTCAGGTGGCTTGTGGCATTACTGTGACGTTTTCTGTTGCTGTTTTAACCGCACAGCATCCTGTTTCTCAGTCACGGCCCGTGCGGTTTTAATAATGAAAAACTACTTCCGTCATTTCCAATGAACCAGCGTGATCTATTGTTTTATGTCGTGCCTGCACTTGTCAGTTTACTGGAAGTGCTTTCATTTGTAAACACTGGGGATGGAAAGAGGACTTGGCCGCTGGTGACAGTCTTCAGACAAACACATGTGCCTTTGGCCTGTGTGCAGAACCCAAAAAGGGGAAATGGTCTCTGTCATGTCTAGTTTTGTTTGTTTGTGTGTGCAGAACCCAAAAAGGGGAAATGACCTCTGTCATGTCTAGTTTTGTTTGCTTGTTGGTTTTGTTTTTTGTTTTTGTTTTTTTAGTATTATAACTGTAATTACTTCTTTAGTGCAAACTAAAGTGCTGTAATGGTAGAACTTTCCCTTTATCACACAGCATTGCCCGTGCATACTGTAGAAATCTCACGTCCTCCAACCAATTTCTTTGGATGTTCAGAGATTGAGGTGTAAACGGTGGGGTGACAGGACTTTTCCTGTGTTTGCTCCCAAATTGTGGAATGCCTTACCACCAGAGATCCTATCCATTTCTGACCAAGCAATTTTTAAACTTTTATACAAAGCAGAGCTCTAACATTTTTAATCTTTCTTTAGTAGTGATGTATATTCTTTTACTCTCTTCATTCTTACTGTGGTTTTACTTAATTTGACTAAATAGGGAAGCATTTTGGTCAGTGTTGGTTGTGATTAATGTGATATAGAAATACATTTTTGATTAGATTTGACGGGCAAAAAGAAATATGTGTATTAAAAATAAGTAAGTATATTGACTAAAGCTGGGACTGTGTTCAGATACACTACTGTAAGTGTATGTGTGTTGGGGGAGGGTGCAGGTAAACTAGGTAAACACAGCCTCTGCCTCTTTGCATTCAGGAAATGGAGCTTGCACACAACAGTCTTCTCCCCCTTTCAGAATGAGTGTATGTTGCTCATTATCTTACTGTTGTGTGATTCCCCTCGGGCTGCCTCTGACCCAGGATTGGTTTGTGGTTTGGATTGCCACCTCACTTGCCCCTATGTCTCTAAAATCAACCACTGAAACCTAGGGACTTTTCCAGACTAGTTCTTCAGTACTGTACTGTTTCTAGCCAGTGATCTCAGCAGCTACACAGCATCCTCTCTTTTCATTTATGCTGCATGAGGACTGATAGTTGTGCTGATTGAGAGCACATAACAATACAGTAGGTGTGTGGGATGTGTGTTTATGCTGTGAAGATGCCTTCACATGACCCTGGCTGACTTGGAAGTAGGAGCAGGTAGCACACAATGGCATGTGATGGTCAAGTGATAGAGGAGAGAAGTGTGAAACAATGCAGCCCACGAGCCTTTAGGGTTGTTTCAACACGGTCAGTCCTGAGCTGGCTGCTGCCTTTATCTTTCTATCACTTTTACGTATGTATACACATACAATAAAGTCTCAAAAGTATTTTTGTTCATATTATAATACATACCTTTTAACTATATATTAATTCTATTAATCAGAAAAACGTATAAGATTGTAGTCCTTGTTTATTTGGTGACATCTGTGCTTCATGATGCAGCAAACACTTTGTACAGTTCAGTGTCAGAAATACAACAGGAGAGCAATCGATGTGTCTGTTTATAGTGACGTAGTGACATCAGTCAAAAATATAGTAACCACCACGATTTCACCTGAAGTGTTCCACAAAATGAAGACCCCTGGTCACAAACTGTTTGAATTCCTCCCCTCTGGACACCGCTGCAGGTCACTGTACACCAAAATAACCAGACACAAGAACAGTTTCTTCCCCCGGGCCATCATTTTGATGAACACTTAACCCAGTATGGCAGGACCCAGCAATCACCACAGAGCAATAAACTGTAAATATAACCATTGTAGCGTGTCGTCTCACAGAAAGAAGGTTCCAGGTTTGAGCCCTGGTTGACCTGGTGCCTTTCTGTGTGGAGTCTGCATGTTCTCCCTGTGCCTGCGTGGGTTCTCTCTGGGTACTCCAGCTTCCTCCCACAGTCCAGAGACATGCAGCTTAGGTTGACTGGAGACTCTCTTGCCCCTAGGAATGAGTGTGAGTGTGTGTGGTTCATCTATGTGCCCTGTGACAGACTGGCGACCTGTCCAGGGTGTACCCCGCCTCTCACCCAGTGTCAGCTGGGATTGGCTCCAGCCCCCCACGACCCTATTCGGGAATAAGCAGTATAGATAATGGATGGATGGATATAACCATTGTACCTATCAATCTGCACATTTGTGCATAATGTGTGTGTGTGTGTGTGTGTGTGTGTATATTCTCTTTTTTCTACTTTCTCCTATTTGTCCTCATTTGTCTCCCATTATTTCTCCTACTGATTGCATATTTTTCCTATTTGAATACACAAAGATTGGTTGATTTGATTGATTTATCCTTGAGATGTGTCCGGATTTTTTAATTTTATTTATTTTTTGGCCACCAGTGGAAAACTGAAGTGATTGGAAATAGTTTAGAAAAGCACACACCTGTGTATATAAGATCCCACAATTCCCATTGTATGTCTTTGTCCTTACAGGTAATTGAGTGAAGATGTAGGCAAAATTGGCACTACAAGTAAAGTGTACAAGCACTGAAGAGGTCTGAATACTTTCTGGAGCCACTGTACATAAAAATAACACTTAGCTGACAGTGCTGACCCAGTTTCAGTTTACACCATCAACCACATTGTAAAAATGTGTGCCCATGTCAAAGGAGAAATCACTACTACAGCCAGTTTTTAAAAAGCATTCTCTAAATTCTGACCCTCCACCTCACTCCTCAAGAAATGTCATTACCCACATAACTGCAGCAACAGAAAACCCAGCTACTGTGGCTGCTTGATTTCAGCTTCTTGTTTATGCTTCAATAGGAGCATTAAGAACTGTGTGTGTATTTCAGCCAGGCAATGTGAATAAAAAATATGGAAGTTTGCTTCTTTGACTTAAGTGACAGATTTTTGTAAGATTGCCAATTTGTTTGTGTGCATGGTAAGACTAGACAATACCGGAAACATGTCACCGGTAAGTGACTTGCCTGTTAGTGCCCTGATATTCCATGTACGGAAAGTCCCTCTTGATTAGTCTGACTCTGCTTTCTACGTAGGCTTTGAATCATTGTGCACAGACACAGAGACAAAACCGGGCCTGTGGCGAAAAGCACATATCAAATAGTGATTGGCAGTTGAACACACATGATGCAGTTTGCTTTTAATATGTGAAGCAATTTCCACTGTGCTGAACCAAAACCATCTACTTAAAACTGCTCAGCTTATAGCAGACTGAGGAATGTGCCATAGAGAATCTGATAAATCAGTCTCATTATGTCATGATGTACTTACTGGCTCTAACCATCCGGATTTCTGTGTTCCAGGAGCACAACTTGGATTGGTTCCCACGGATGCGGGCCATGTCCTTGGTCAGCAGTGATGCAGAGGGAGAGCAGAATGAGATCAGAAACCTGCAGGAGAAACTGGAATCCACCATGAAACTGGTGTCCAACCTCTCGGGCCAGCTGACCGAGCTCAAAGAGCAGGTTGGTCCAGCTAAAGTGAAACACTGACAGGGACTTTGGTGTCGCTGACGTCATTATGAAGAAAACATAAAGAGCGAGAGCAACGTGTTTCTGTAGATGTGGACGTAGTTTGCAGTTCGTTTGCTGTCGATTGTCCTTTAGATACAGAACTTGCTAAATTCAAAAGGCAAGTCATAGTTAGTCATAGTTCACAGTACAGCTCATTATGCTGTGAGACTGATTTCCATCAGTGAGTAATTGTCTATCTGTAGTGAATTTCTTTCTGACCTCTTGACCTTTTGGCTCAGGTTGGAGTATTTATTCATCTATTTATTGATTTATTTACTGAATACAGCTTTTCTCAATAGTTAAAAGAACAGAATTATAAATGTCCTTCAAAATATTTGCTTTTGATTAGACTGGCTAGTGAGAGAGTTATTTAGCAAGGGAATCATTTTAATCAAAAGACCTTTTTTCAGGGATTAAACTCAGATTTAAGTGCTTCTAAGCAGATGAGGAATACATTCTGCTGATACGGCATATAACAGCGATTGTATGCATAAAAAGGGTACAATTGCTGCAATCTACTGTTCCTAGTAAACACAATTGTAAAAATGGTCTTACCCTTGAAATGAGAACTATCTGTGAGGAAGTGAATGTTGGCGAGACATTTTGACCCAGACGGGGAAATGATCACCGTGTTGCGCTGTAGCATCAGTTACATGTCACTCTAGATTCAGTATTTGTACAGCCTGCCTTGAGTGAGCTTATCAAGAAAGACCTCAAAAGGTCTGATGGTGCAGATGCTTAAAAGTGACAGTTCATGAATTAACATTAGCTAGTTTCTGAGGAATACTTTACATTGAGAATAAAGCACAAGAAGGAAAACTGCAACAAGCCTCATCTGCTTTGGCCTGATTTTTGTAAAGAAAGGTCTGTTGTTAACTGTGTTTAAACTGTCCACTAGATGTCTTTTAATGATATTTCTCTCTAACCCATCACTCTACACAGAATTATTTCTCGTGGAAGACTCATTCCAAGACCACTTTGTCTTCTCACTTTTCATATGGTTATGTTTCAATGTCAAGGTGCAGACTGTGAAAAAAGTTCATTCTTATCAGAAAACCCATCTGTGTTCCTGTTGGTATAAAGGTTAACACCTGTGTTATGACTCATGTCCATTGCTTGATCTCTGAAATTTCTTTTGACTGAGTTTCGGTATTAGTCGTTATTCTGCTGCTGCCGTCAGAAGATGCAGCAGTGTGGAGGACAAGGCTACTGCGATTTCAGAAGAATATGTTTCACTTCAGCAGTGTGCAGAGATTGTATAGCATTTGTTAGTTTCTCTTAGGTGATGTGAAGGAATGAAGTGACAAAGGCTATCGAGCAGAAACATTGCCAGCAGCAGAAGAGGACGTGTGTGCCAACAGAGGTACAGGTGGAATCATTTCTGTAAATATCTGTCCTTTCTCTGATCTTCAGATGACAGAACAAAGGAAACAGAAGCAGCGGATTGGCCTGTTGGGACACCCTCAGCATATGAACGTCAACCCCCAGCAGCCTGGGTAGAGTCAAGTGGCACAGCCCCCGAAGCAGCTCAGCATCTTTGTGCGTGTCTCGACGGAGCATGCTACCCATAATGTATACTGCACTGAGTGTGAACCTAACTTATAACGGTAGGGAAATACTGTAACATAGGTAGTCATAAGACGACATGTAGCTCTACCCCACACACGTTACTCTGACCAGTAACACTCACCCACCTCGTCTAGTTCAGTCCAGCTGGAATTGGTGCCAAATAAATTGGATTTCACGGCCTTTACTGGTTGAACTTGAAACATGATAACTTGACAGGAAGAGTTAGAGCCATTTGTTTTTCTGTTTTTATTTTAATGTTTTCTATTTATATTTCTTCCATAATGAGCAGTATTAAATGTCTTATTTTTGTATGTTGTGCAGTATATTAACTTAAATATGCAACTTCATTGGTGTGTGGATTTAAGCTCCATAAATTGCCTCATTTAAAGGTGTGGGCCAATATTTTTTGTCTGTATTAAATAAGGAGATGTCGACTGTCTTTACTTACACAAATATAAAGATAATATTTAATAAGCTGGCCTTTTCAGTTTTAGTTTTTATATCTTGAAAATGTGCATACTACTTGAGTGTCATTTGCACTTAATAGTATATTGTGTAAGAGCAATACATAGTGATAATTTCCTTTCACCTGTGTAAATCCAGTGGTGTCATATCTGCTAACTTATTTTATCAGTTTGCTTTCTTCTTGAATTTGGTTCTAAAGGACATTTAGTAAGTGTGACTTCTCTCTCAGATATACTACTTAACATAATTGTTTTCAGTTCCTGCTGTTACTGTTGGCTCAGGATTTACATACCTTTTACTTTTATAAACATAATTAGCACAATCCGTTCTGGTTTTTCAGCAGACTTGTTCCATTTGTGTCTGTTTTGTCCCCATTAAATTCTGATATGTTTGCTGCTGGTGCAGGGTTACTAACTTTTACATTCATGTTCACTGAAATCTATTAGTTCATTCATTCTTTAAAAATCTAAGCACTCTCAGTTTGCATATTATAAAGTAGAATTATTTATTAAATTTGATGTAATTATCCTTTACTGCATGTGTTTGTTTATTGTTGAGGTGATATTATAGAATTCCTATAAGTAATGGTGTATATAAAGTAAACCCTTAATGCGCTTAAAAACATTTAACAATCTTTTTTTTTTTAAGTGCATTTATACATTCTCGCACACTCAGCAGTCAGTGCACCTAAGATGACTCATTTTTCTTAGTACTGCTGTTGTACAGTTTTCTGTTCAGTAGATATATAAGCCAGTAAAATTAATCAGCCTGCCACAAACAGCCCGTATATATCGCTGATATAAATTTGAAAAATATGTAAAACTCATTGCACTTGAATATAGGAACACGGCAAACGGGTCCAATATGTATACTAAAAATAACATTTTAGTCACAACTATAATTTCCACTATTTACAATAACATGTTCCATATGAGTCAAATACACAAATCTCAGTATTTTCCAGTTCATAAATAAAACTAGGCCACATGATGACTTAGTCTTTGAGCTTTCAGAGAAAGGACCTCTGTCAACTGGAACCATCTACGTCTGAAACCAGCAGTACGAGTGTTTGTATCTGAGCAGTGGTAGAAAGTAACTAAGTACATTTACTAAAGTTCTGTACTTAAATACAGTTTTGAGGCCTCTGTCAAGTATTTTCATTTTGTGCTACTTCACAGTTCGACTTCACTACATTTCAGATGCAAATATTAGACTTTTTACTCCACTATATTTATTTTAAAACTTTAGATACTAGTTACTTTTCAGAATCAGATTAATAAAAAAATACTGAATAATCATTTTCCATTGGAAAATTCACAAACTGTCCAACACTAATTCAAATTAAATGCACATAAGCTAGTTAAAACTAGCTCCCCTTTACTAGCTGCAACATTAAATGTGATGTACACAATAATGCATCAATAACTAGAATCCATTAATATATTAATGTGAAATGTGCCATTCTGCATAATGAGTATGTTTACCATTAGTACTTCAAGCATATTTTGATACTAATACTTTTGAACTTTTATTTAAGTAACATTTCGAATGTAGGACTTTTGCTTAAGTAAGGGATGTGAGTACTTCTTCCACCACTGTAACTGAGTGGATTTAAATTTGCATATGTCCTCGTTAACAAATTATCATCTTCAAATAATAACCACTTTTCCTGAAAAAATTGTCAGCATGCCATTTATTTATCAAGCTATACTCACCAAATGCTGATCTGCCTTTCAATGTCATACCATTAAAAAAATCACAGGGGCTGCTTTGCACTTTTTTATACTTTAAGTAATCTAGGCTACACTTTGTCAATCACTCATAAGTAAGACACTGAATGCCAGGTTTTTACCTGCAGTGGACCATTTTTATAAGTTTTGCTTTAATACCACCTGTGAATACTGAAGACAAAATCCCTTCAGATACAGTGGCCTGACGAACAGTGCTGTGAAAAAGCAGCAGCAGAACCAAATGTTAGCAGTGTAGGTCAACATGTTACATTGTTATATTCACGTTACATCTTTAAAAGAAAGGTCTGAATTGATAAAAACCTGGGAAGCACAAGACCCCTCATCGTTGTTATTATTAGGCCTGTTTTTTTCTGGTGGCATCTTTCCACAGAACAACAAAAACTGAATTCACAGCAAGTGTTGACACTGACCCCTGCCCCGCTCCCTCGTTTCCACTGTGCTGTTTGAAGCTTTTTATTTTTATTTTTTATTGAAACCAAGTAACACATTAACAAAACAGGACGAAACATGGGAGACAAGACAACAGATACATGTCTTTACAAAAAGATGTATACAGTGGTTAACAATTAGGGTGTGAAGTGTGGGTATTTCCAAATTATGCAGTTTATGAAATGCAAGAAAAGGAAAAATGTAATAATAATAATAATGATGATGATGAGAACTACGAATAAAATCAGCTTGTTACATTTTTAGAGGTTTGTGGGAATGTGCGTGGCCTCAGCCCCAGGTGTTTGGTTCAAGTTGAAATGTGTTAAAAATGGGTTCCATGTGTCATAAAAAGCTGATAAACTATTGTTGTGAGTGGATGCCATTTTCTCTAATGTGATGTATTTGTGCTGTTTTGAAGCTGATTTTGTCTATAGCTGGATCGGGACGTCGGCGGGTGGAACCGAGCGACCAGTCGGCCGCTCTCGGTTGTCTGCGCGCGTGACGTCACTAGCAGGGATCTGTTTTCCTCGACTCTCTGCAGGCCATGAGGAGCTCAACGTGACGGGTTTAATAGTATCATTACTGCAGACGGGATAAAAAAACAAAACGCTCCGCCACACTTACGGTGTCAACCTGCTGCAGGTGCACGTGCCACACAGCAAACAGGTAGAGTAAGACATTACACCATGGCCAGGCCCGCGTGACACATAGGCTGCAGGAAGTATACCTGAAATAGGAGATATTGGCCCTTAATAAACAAATAAACAGGGCCTTTAACTACTAGTTACTGGTGAAAAAAGCCTGTCATTTTGTCTTTGTTGTTTTATATTTATAAAGGCAACAGTATTCGTGCAACACCTATTATGTTGTTACTGTGTAATAGAATGTTGATAATTTAAGTAGCCCAATAGTTCACAACTTAACGGGAGAACTGTTGCTCTGCTTTCCCTCTTTGTAAACACGGCTGTCTCTGCAAACACTCTGTCCAGAGAGCCGTAGCATGGTGGTACACGGGACTCGGCCCAGAGGAGGAGTACTACGGAAGTGGGTTGTACTAGACCGCGAAGGTTGAAAGCACCGTCCAACACGTGAGGCTCATGTGACGGAGTCGAGTGTGTGTCTGTAGCTGAGAGACGTGCCTGCAGTCACAGGGTTTATTTAACACGTAGTCAAAACCCACCCAGCTCTCACACGTTCAGTCGGGCGTGGATCCTCCCCTAGACATACTGCCGAGTCCGGACCAGCGGGTGACAACACCGCGCCGTGCCAGACTCCAACACACTCACGCTGGATACAGGAGATACTGTTTTCTTTATCTATTCATTGTGTGTGTATGTGCGATTTTTTTCACGTTTTGAAGGGCGATTGCAGAGACACATTTGGAACGTGTTCAAGGCTTTTAGAAGTAATTTATCCGCGTTTTTGAGTTAAGCGACATGGAGAGAATTACCAGTGCGCAACCACCTCCCTGTGTGCCAAAACACTCATCACTGGATTTAGCGGACATGCCTGGGTAAAATGAAAAAGAAAATCTGCTCTGTTTTATTCTACTACATCAAGCACTTAAGGCTATAATGAACCTTAACTAAACTAAAGACTAACAATTTTTTTTATCTTATCTCCAAAGAATGTTTATGTATAAACCCAGGAGGGGCATGAAGCGCGGGGATGAGAGCAAGGTAATTAAACTTAAAATGCATAATATTCCTGCATACATCAGTTTAGGATGAGCAGGCTGGATTTCACTAACAACATCTGAACCCTCTCCAGGAGACATACAAGTTGCCACACAGGCTAATTGAAAAGAAAAGACGTGACAGAATCAACGAATGCATTGCCCAGCTGAAAGACTTATTGCCAGAACATCTCAAGCTTACAGTGAGTATCCTATTATCTTCTACATATGGCATGTCTGCATAACACCCATGGAATCTGAGACGCTGCTTTGTTTTTCTGTTTGCTCCGGACTTTGTATTCAGTTTTGGAATCTTGAAAAATAAAGGTTTTGCATTTTTAGAGGCGCTTAGAGATGAAGAATTATTTGATTTTTCCCAGTGTTGTATTAATGTTATTGTTTCAGTCAATCTAAAAATGTTTTAGATTTCAGTTTGTTGTTAAGAATTTTGTGTGAGTACATGGATCGCATGACTGCCTGGGTGTTCAGAGCTTGTCATCTGTTCAGCTCCAGAATGTGTTACGTAAGAAAGATCAACATGCTTATTGAAGGTCTTCCTGTTGTAGACGCTGGGTCATTTGGAGAAAGCCGTGGTCCTGGAACTCACTCTCAAGCATGTTAAAGCCCTGAGTGTCCTCCTGGAGCAGCAGCAGCAAAAAATTATCTCGCTACAAAAGGACCTGCAAATTAGTACGTTTGATGCCGTGAGATTTTTTTTGTTTACAGTAGGCATAAACAGACTGCAGTAAAAATTATTTGTAACCTTGTATTTTTAAACCACCAGGTGATCATGGAGGCGAGGGTGCAGAGAGCAGCAAGATATTCCGCTCTGGCTTTCACCTGTGTGCAAATGAGGTCCTCCACTATCTGACCAGACACGAAAACAGTAGGGACCTAACCCCTTCCCATGTCATCAGCCACATCCAGAAAGTAGCGGCTGAAGTTCAACAGCATCGAAGCAGCCTATACCCAGATAAGCCTATCCCTCAACCAGTGGAGAAAAAAACTCCCGCGCAGTTCCCAAGGACCTCTGAGGGCCCTGCCAACAACTGTGTTCCTGTCATTCAACGGACTTACACCCATGGGATGGGGGAGCAGAGTGGCAGTGACACAGATACTGACAGCGGGTATGGTGGAGAACACGACAAGCGTGACCCCAGTGCTCAATGGTCAGAAAATCACGTGCGGCAGGGTGACCTCAAGCATGTGATGTCTGAAGGTACAGTGGGTCCCATCAAGCAGGAGGGTGATGAGCCTCTGGCCAAGAAGCCAAGGTCTGACTCCTCAGAGGATAGGTTCGTGTCTGGACACGCAGCAGGAGGCCCTGGCAGCTACATGAGTTTCTCTCCGAACCAGCCCCCATTTTGCTTCCCTTTCTACCTCATCCCCCCTGCAGCAGCAGCAGCGGCGTATCTGCCCATGCTGGAGAAATGCTGGTACCCTGGGGCCATGCCAGTTATGTACCCAAGCATGGGGGGCTCTGCAGTGAGCTTGCACCCAGAGCCACTTCCCTCATCCCTGGTGATTTCCCCAAGGGCAGGGTCACCAGTTCCGCAACAGACCCCCATGGACTCCGCTCTTCACAAAGCTTTAAAGCAGGTCCCCCCTTTGAACTTGGACACCAAAGCCTAAACAGAAGTGTTTCTGTTGGAATCCTCCCCTCTGAATGTTGGGGTTGAGTTGCTGACCCACTGAAAAGAGAGTAAAGAAGCACAAAAGCACTGGTATCCCCTCAAACCACACGTTTATCGCATCCGAACATTGACCCCAGCAAAGAACCCAAAATGGTCATCACCGTCTATCATCAGCCTTTTGCACACTGAAACAAGACTGCTGGGTGTGACTTGTAGTGCCCAACATGAAGGCTGTTGCATGGCTCTGAAACACTGTGAAGATGGTCCATTTAAAGACAATGAGCGTGCACTGTTCACCTTCTCTGTGTTTGGTGTTGGGTGTCAGAGGTTAACGCTGAATGTCACAGATAAGGCCCCTCTCCAAATAATTTTGACCTACTTTTTGCACACACACACCAGTCTGTGATGAATGTAAAGATTTAAAAAAAAAAGCTCCTTGCAGATGCTGCTTGAATTATTATTACCTGCTGTAGATCTGTGAACAGAAGATCTACCTTCACTGTTTGTTGCTCCTGCAACAAGCCATTATTTGGACTAGAATGTTACCAAAAAAAAAAAAAAGTCTGGTTCATGTTTCGACACAAAAGACATTGCTTCTTGTGCCCTTCAATTATCTTGGAGCTAAATGAATACGAATGTTCATGGTGTTCAAAGAATTCAGGGCGTTGTCACTGCCTGAGGTATGTCATGTCTTTTGAAGACCGATGTGACTCGTAAATATTTGTGCATCTTGATGGAGTTCCTGTGAAGTAATATCTGTAATTATTTTTGTTCATACTACCCATACATCTCTATTTTTGATACACGACTCGCTGAGTGCATTTGCATCGCTATCAGGGGAAGGCTAAGTCTTTTGCTGTATGCCAATAGAACATGTGCAGTATATAACATCATGCACAACCAGATTTGCATCTTGCACACAAATTCCTGGTCAAGTTAAGGCCTGATGTTTAGCTCAAGCTGTTGCTTTTATTCATTTAATGCAGACACGACGACGGCAGGTGTTTAAATGTATTTGCTGCTTTACATGTTGTGTCTGTGGCGAAGAGAGTGAATGTAAAGTTCAAACAAAAATAATAGTTTTGTATAGAAAGAGGTACATGGGAATTTTATTTTGAAATGTAACAGTGATGTTTGTTCTACATATTTTGTATATGAAGTATTATTGATATATATTAAAAAGGTTTTCCCTCTGTGGAATTTGTTTCACTGCCTGATGGCTTAAACAACCTGACAGCTCCTCATAACAGCACATACTTATGTAACACTTACATAAGCCATAAAGCAGCAGAGCCTCTGTAAATCAATAGCATGTCTTAGATTACCAGCTGTGAACAGTTGACATTCGAATAAATTTCTAAAGATTTACGAATAGTGACTTTTAGCAAAAGCTCATTTATACAGTGAATCTATTTCACCATCTCTTCAGCCGGGCAACTTTGCAATCACCACATTTGGGATAAATTACGGTTACAATTTTGTTTATTAGATCCTCTTATGAATCATGTACTAACCAGAGGTGATCCTGCAAATCCACAAAACTAATCTAGAAATTAGCAATGATAACTTTGGTTTCTATAAAAATATAAGCTACAAATTTGCTGAAATTTATTTTTGTGGTTTCATCAGGTCTTTCCTATGCACTTTGGAGGGTTTGTGTATTGTATGTCAGCCACCAAAGCAGTACTGAAAGTGTGCTGGGTAGGAGCAGAAAATGTCTCTGCCAACTTAAGAACACCACAGTGGATGGAAATGGTATTTGAGGTTGTGGGGACAAAGATTTCTAGTCTTTGATTTACTTTCATATGATATGGAAGATGATTCTCCACCAACCTTCTCCTGCTGCTTTACAAGCTGTTTCCTGGGCGGTAACACTGCTGTAGTAATACTGAGAATAAAACAAGCCTTAGTCATGCCCTGCTTACCACCCACCATGCCTTCCAGAGAAATGTGGAAATGGAACTTTTGCTTTTCTTGTAATCCCAGCGGTGTTTGGTCATTTGGTTTGCAGATCAGTGACATGATTCCAACATAGTATCTTGAGATTTTTTTTCCACAGGCCTGCTGATCTAACAATGCAGTACTGGCTCCCCCTTGTGGTCTCGTTTTGCCACCGGCGGCGCTGGCTTATTATGCCACTCTGACAGGATGTTGTCTTAAGAAACCACAACTGAGACAATGTCAGTCAGTAAAAATTTAACAGTAAGAAAACTCGCTGTTTTAGTCATTGGTGTATATACTAAATACTTTTAAAGTTACTTTAAAATATTTATGTAAAATGGTAGAAGCAATGACAAACCCACATAGTATTAACACCCAACCCAGTAGCTCCTCTCATCTCTGTGCTATGCCCAGAGGCCGGTAGGCAGGTGGACCCAAATATCGACACTCAGATTCGAAGCACTGGGGACATGGAGACACTAGACATACACAGCAGATCTCGTTGGTGGGGGAGAGAGTGTTGACTGAGTGGCTGGAAGGATAACCAGATACAACTAAGGATGTGGCGCCGGAGGTTGAAGGGCTACAGGGCCACCGGGGGAAGAATCAAGGCAGCAGGGAGAGAGGAGTGTATGTTGGGAGGAGTGGATTCTGAGCAGAGTGAGGCTGGAGAGTAGAGGATCTGAAGAGCTGGTAGCCAAGAGGAACGGCATAGCTAATGGTGGTGGTGTGATGATCAGATGGAGGAATGGAGACCGGTGGACGTGGAATCTGGCAGCTGGTTGGGTCGAGGGGTCAGAGCAGATTGGAGTGGATGGCAGGAGGGATGGTGAGGTGGAACAGGTGGTAGCAGGTCCCAGTCATGGGGATGAGGTGGATGCAGGGTGGTCAGATGGCGGAGAGGTAAGATGACTGCAGGACAGGTGGTAGAGGTAGGTGAGGAGGTGGCAGACCCTGGAGATGGAGTTGGTGAGACGCCTCACAGGTAAGGGAAGATGAAGTGGGTACAGGTAAGTTGGTTCACCGGTAAGTTGAGGTACAGATTCTTGTGAAGAGGTAAGTCGTCACACAGGCAGGAGAAGTTCTGACACTTACAGGCAGACAAGGAGGACGGTGGTAAGTAGATGTGCAGGTAAGTAGAAACACTGGCACTCACCGGGGCGAAGAGGTGTCACTAACCAGTAAAACAAAAAGGTGAGTTGACTCAGGTAGCAGGGACGCTGACACTTATGGAGAAATGAAGATGTGAACTCTTGTCACAAGATGATGATCAGAGAGAAGGCAGCCACGGTCTGTTCTGTAGAGAACATGCAATAATCTGGCAATGAGAACATGCCAACGTTTGGCTTAAGTGGGGCTGGGTAGATTGCAGTCAGCTGTGCTGGGTGTGTCTCGACACCTGGACTCACTGCTGGCATGTGAGGAGGCGGAGGTGCAGGCTGCGGACATGTCACTATGGAGCAGTTCAGTGTGCTTCAGGTCATTGTTTTGGTTTGACTGGCCACAACTTTACTGTTTTGGTCCACTCTCATCGCTCTCATCAATCTCATTTACCAGCCACAGCAGGCAGCTGGTTTCAGCTAAAAAAAACAAAACAGAATTTGCTCAACAACCATTGAGTTGCATACAACTAATTTGAATCTGTCTCTTTATTTATGTCATTTATTTTCTGTTGACTTCACTTGCTTCACAGTCTTATCTGAATGTGTCTTCGACTAACTGGCTGAAGTGACAACCCTAATGGCTCTAGCAGGAAACACTGACACGGTGTTAAAATAGAAGAGAAAACTGTCATGAGATAAAGATTTGTGCCCAAGAAGGTGTGAACCACAGAAATGTGATAGTATCAAAAGAAGGAGCTTCTTATTGAGAAGCAGGCTGTTAAACATCTAATTCAGAAACATGGTGTTACAGAGGACATAATGGCTGGGATGACTGTGCAGCTTATGTGCGTGGCCCTGGCCTCCATGGTGATTGTTGCTGAGAACAGTGTGTGCACTGTGAATGAGACAGCAGTGCAGTTGTTATGGTTTATTTAATTTAAGGCTCAAAACATTTAGTGAGTGATCATCAACAAAAGGATGATATAAAGGAGACCCTTACACATGGAGGACTATCTATCTATCTATCTATCTATCTATCTATCTATCTATCTATCTATCTATCTATCTATCTATCTATCAAGTGTTTCCTGTCACTGTTGATCATATCAACATAATGTTCACGAGGAATTCTGGACCATTCTTCCTCACAGAACTGCTTCAGCTCAGCCATTTTTTGATAGATTGTCTGGTGCGAAAATCATTGGACAGCATCTTTGTTGGGTTGAGGTCTGGGCAGTGACTGGGACAGATTTTCTTGTTTTACTTCAATGTCACTGTCCTGCTGCATCACCCAACATCTACTAGGCTTCAGCTGACAGACACCCACCCTGATATTATCCTGTATGAATCCTTGATAAACTTGGGAATATAAATAATAGGCCTATTCATAAGGTTATTACTGTAGTTATTATTATTAAAGTAGGCCTACTACATTTATTCAGCTCTTATAGGCTACTTGTTTTATATTAAGAATTTACATAAAAACACAGAATATAAACGATGCAATGTTATAAATTACACTATTACCATAGTAATAGCATAGCACTTTAAATTCACCTTGACCAGCTATTAAAATAACCTACTGCTTAGCCTATATGAAATATAAGAGCTAATATAATACACTGTACTTTTGCAAATAGTTATGTAGTTTTTACTTAAGTAAACGAAGTATTTTCATATTGTGATATTGCTAAATGATCTAGATTCTTTTATATACCTACTTATAATAATAAATTAAGCTACACCTTCGTGTGGTGACCTACTGTAAGTATATGATGACCGGCTTTTATTCTGAAAGAACAGAGTGGAAGTCTCGCTATTGTTCTCGCATGCAAACAAGATGCAGGCGGTCAAGCGGAGGAGTTCCGCCGTCAACAGTTCTGTCTGCAGTCAGGATGGTCTGGGCTGCGGTGCTGCTGCTCGGTGTCATAGCTTCGTGCCGGGCTGAGTTCGCTCCTCCCACAGTGAATATCAGCCTGGATGAAGACCCAGACGTACGATGGATGCCTCTGCTCAAAGTCTTTGACGTTGAGTACCTAAAGAAAGCTGCCACAGAGGTCATCGAGTAAGTCCTCCAGCGACTCTTTTTGCTATGCCATTAGTTAATCACACATCCAAAGTAATATTGCATTCCCAGAAAACGCACTATTACCATGCAATGATGTTAGTTATGTGTTGTCCATACGTAATATAGGCGTTATTATGTATTTTAATACTAGGAATGAATCCTAAGCTGTTATAAATATCGTCAGAATCCAAATGAAAACATTCCCAGGGACCTAGCAGGCCACAGATGACATGGTTTCACTTTATATTACACAGTTAGTGGTGGCAAATAAAAAGGGAGAGAAACTCATCATCAGGGACATAACCACAAATAGTTAAAAATGAATTCTGTTGTTAGGCTATGCTTTTATGTCAGCTGTGAGTCAGTGGGTACAACTAACTTCTGCCTTAATGAGCACCATGTTGTGTTTATCCTCCGCTGTGCTTATGCTGATGGTGACTGCAGACAGACATGTTTTCTGGTTTTTAAATGTGTTTATTTTGCCAGCTCTACAGTTCCAAAATGGGTGCATCATGCACTCACACCTATTGTGATGGCCTTGGAGAAGTACGTCCCTCAGCCGTATGCGGGAGAGATCCGCGGCTTGGCCTCACACTTTGGAGCAAGTCTGTCAGATGTCATCGTTCTTAACTTCGCCTATGAAGTATCTGCGTATGTATGATTTAAAATCTACTTACACATTCAGAACAGAAACATGAGTACTCACACAGTGTCTCACAGCCATGCAGTAATAAGTGAAAGGCCACTCATGCATACAAACAAACTTTATGCATTCCTAGATTTTGCACTAGCATCATAGCTCAGGACAAAAATGGGCAAGTGTACCATGGCAGGAATCTTGATTATCCACATCCTGTTCTGAGGAATCTGACTGTCAACGTAATTTTCCTCAGGAATGGAGAGGTATGGTATGTATTCTGCTCAAAACGTTTATAACCCCAGTTGTTTTATGCCTACTCAAACTATGTAGCTAAAAACATTCAGAACCACATATCAATTTGTAAACTTTAGTAGGTCACGGATGGAAGTTGTTGCATGATGCTGTGATGTTCAGGATACAATTAGAATGTTTTTTGTTGGCCCCACCCTTCAGGTTGCGTACCGTGGAACATCCTTCGCTGGCTATGTTGGATTGTGGACAGGACAGAGTCCTAACAAGTTTACTGTCACTGGCAACCAGCGAGGTACTGAGCGACCACACTTCTTCTCAGCAGCCATGTTTGTCCAGAAAGGCTGCAATAGTCCAATTTTATTGCTTGTTCTTGTTTACATCTTTGTTTATGGTCATCAGGCAGTGAACACTGGTGGAACTGGTGGAAAAATGTGGTGTCTGCTGTCCTCTTTCATAGATCCCCTGTCAGCTGGCTGGTGAGAGAGGTGTGTATGTTAATGGAAGTGAGTATAACTGTACTTACTGTATAAGGAAATTGAACTAATCGTGTGTAACTTCTGCAGACACTGGAGGAAGCAGAGAACTTTCAGGATGCGCTGATGCGTCTCTCCAAAATCCCCATCATCACCGGAGTGTATTACATTGTGGGCGGGGTGCGAGCATGGGAAGGGGTCGTCATCACCAGAGATCGAACGGGCCCTGCTGACATCTGGCCACTGGATCGTATGAACAGAGGGCAGGCAAAATAAAGTAGAATTTCAAGATACTGTATGTGGTGTGAGTGCACAATTGAGTCCAAACATAAAACTCTGTGTCCCTGTTTCAGATGGTACAGGGTGGAGACGAACTTTGACCACTGGCTTCCTCCCCCAGCTTCAGATCATCGAAGGTGAGTCATCTCACATGGTGAATACAGTCACAAGATTGTTATTGTTACTATAATTACACAGTTGTTATGTGTTCATTAATTAGAGAGGCAGCCAACAAAGCACTAAATGCTACTGGCCAAGATCACATAAATATGGACACACTTTATCAGGCAAGTATGAGCCATAGTGCAAGTGACAATGACAGAACCTCTAAAGTGCACATTTGGAAAGTGAGAGACAGTATGTGGGTGTGTAACAGAATGTTGTCCCCCAGGTTTTGTCGCTGTACCCAGTGTGTAATGGGTAAGAAGGAAATTATCTGTTCATTATGATCTCATTTCTGTCACATGACTGTCTGTGTGGCAAACCAGTTTCAGTTCCCTTTGCCCCACCTCAGCAATAATGTCAACAGACCTTTATTTTACTTACTTCAGCACATAACAAGTAATATATAGAACAACAATAGCTACTTTTCAGTCAAGCTGTTTGAGTTTTACAGTCTTGATATTCAGTTTTATAGACGTGAATATTTTTGGTGCTTTTACATGGCCTGTTGTAAAACAATTTGATGTACTACATCACATTTTATATTATTTATTGTCTACTGTCTTAATAATCTCCCAGACATACTGTTTACACAACAGCGATGAGTGCGGCAGCCCCTGAGAAGTACAATACAGCTGTCAGGCCACAGGTGATGAACTCACACATTAAGCATATGTATTTGTTAGTACTTACAATCATTTTGTCCTAATGAGCAACAAAGTGGTGATATGCCAGTGAACATATGAGACTCTCCCTCTCTCATCCTTTCTTATGTCTTTCCAGGGCTGCTCCATGGCCGACAGATATCCAGCAGATTTGTGATGTGGTGTGTGCCTGAACAGCATAACATTGTTAGAATGCAGGGTCATGATCAGATGGAGATGGGATTAGGAGAGAACTCGACTTGAGCCCTTGTAGGATGACAGTGCTTTTCTGCCTCTAGTCAAAGAAAATTTGGATTATTTTTGTAACTTTATGTACCTGCAGTTTATATCTCAAGCTTTATTAGAAATAAAGATAATTAAATCACTGTGAGTCAGCTGGAGAACTTTTCTGGAGCAGGGAAATGACAGAAATTAAACACAAGTTAAAACTAGAGAAATGCATTTTCTGAAGAAAATGTGTGTGGATGCTGAGTGCTGAAGGACTGCCGTGAAAATGCAGAACATTTTGACACCTGAATAACTTTTGTAGCTGAAAGTATGCTGAAGTATTTTCAGTTTATTTGAAAGAGCTAAAATTTTTTGTATAAAGCTAAATATTATAAAAAGTAAGAAGTTTAGAAAAATTTTGAATAAAAGCATGAATATCCTTGAGGAGCTGCACATTTTGATTGCTGAAATTATGCTGAAGTAGAATTTTCCCATTCATTGTGTATTAAAAGCCAAGCCAAATAAATAAGTTTTAAGCAATGATTTAAAAGTAATGAGGTCAGTAGCTGACCTAACATTAAAAGGTAGACTATTCCATAATTTAGGGGCTGCAACATTAAAAGCACGATCACCCCAGCATTTATATCTGACCCTAGGAACCTCTAAAAGAAAAACATCATTTTGCTACCTGAAATAGCTGAAAGTATGCAGAAGTAAAAAATTCCCTATTCATTTGAATGGGGCAAGCTTTTCAGAATGAAACTAAATATTTCCAAAAGAATGAAGTTTAGAAAAATTTTGAATAGAAGCATGAATGTCCTTGAAGAGCTGAACATTTTGCTACCTGAAATAGCTGAAAGTATGCTGAAGTATTTTCCCATTCATTTGAATGGGGCAACATTTTCAGAATAAAGCTAAATGTTTTGATTTTTGATTTTTTTTTTAAATATTTTGAAAATCAGGCACGTTTTGAGGTACTTATGTGAGCTTAATTTACAATTGTGTTTTTATTTTGAAATTCTGGTGTATTTTGGGGATTTAATGTAAACTTAATGTGCCAGCTGGGCTTTTATTTTGAAAATACATCATATTTTGGAGCCTCCAGGTGAGCTGAAGTTACAATCTGGAGCTTATATTTTAAAAATCTGGAATGTTATTGGGCCCTCATGTGGGGTAATTTGGGGGCCTTTATGTGAGCTTAAGTTTCATTCAGGGGCTTTTATTTTGAAATTATGGCATGCTTTGGGGCCTTCATTTAAACAATATGCAATCAGACACTTGGCATATTTTGGGGACTTATTTTGAAGGCAGACCAACCTGTGTCTGTGTGTTTGCGTGTGTGTGTGTGTTGGTGTGTCACTGCGCCACTGTGTGTGTTATTGCATTTCACTGTATTGCTTTGATTGTACAGTATATGTTTGGGTTTTATTTTGTGTGTGCGTGTTATTCTGTTGCTGTTTCTGTGTGTAAAAGTAGAAGGTGCATCGTTAAGTGAGAAAATTATGAGTGATCAGAAAATGGCCTTGTTATTGTGATAGGATGAACGGTTTTTGAATGATGTGGCATATTCCAGAGAGAGTGCCGCCTCACTCTGCCATAGACAGCCATAGAAAAAAACGATTCAGAAAATCCCCTCGAAGCAAAAGTTAGGGCATTTGTCACTGAAATCGCCACAGCTCCTTCATTTTCTGGAATATTTTTACATAAAGGTGATCAGCATGTTCCTTGAAACCTCCTGCTACTCATAGTCAAGAGATTTTTTTCGATAGGACTTATAGTTTTTCTTCGAATGTCAATTGTTCGAAGCCCATGTTTGACTGAAATCTGTAGTGTAGCCAGATAGTGAGTGGATAGAGGAGAGACAAAAGAAGAAAAGCAACAAGACACAACAATCAAACACTGATCAGGTCGATGTGGCTGGTGACTGCTCGTCAGAGACGTAGAGCTCCAGGGCCAGGGCAACCTGCAGAAAGGTACAGAGAGAGAGGACACACTACGGGAGAGAGGAGATACAAAGTTAGTAATGTGTAATGGTGGCATATAGAAGCATAGGGAGAGAGAGGAGGGGAGAGGAGAGGAGAGGAGAGGAGAGGACAGCAGGAGGGGAGGGGAGGGGAGTGGAGAGAAACTCAGAGCATCATGGGGCCCCCCAGCAGCCTAGG